ATCATATTGGTAGAAAGACTTAGCGGAACACACGTAGTCGCCTCGAGTAGGATAGATGTGATGACAGGAGTCGAGTTAAATAGGTGAACAAGGGGTAGAGCAGACGGATTTTACAGAGCAAGAGAGAGACTGAGATAAGAATAGGGAAGAGGACTGCATACTAATAAAGCAGACTCTGATCAACATTCCCTGAACAAGGATGAAGAGGGGGGGATGAGAACGACAGTTGGGGTGTGAAGATGTCATTTCGCTCAAAGGAGCACACTACACTATCTAAATAAACACGGTAAAATTTGTAATAGTGAAGGTATGATTGGATGATACAGGAAACGCGAATAACTCAGGACAGAAGGAGAGGTACCATAATTGTTTAGCACAAGTTTGGTCAAAGGATTGGCTTCACTTGTCTCTTTGACGAGTTGTTGTGTAATGCTAAGAATGGCGATACTCACTGACGATGCCGACGAAACGTACCACGTCCACGGTTCAACTTTGGAAATGATCCTGCCGACAATGGACTCCGGACTAGGTGCGTTCCGCTAAGTCTTCCTACCAATATGACCATTTTGCGAAAATAAGGTCAAATAACTTCCATATTTGGAGTTGTATTCGGGAAAGCGTTTTGCATTTTAAAGACAGTCCACGTCCTTCTTAGGAATGCAATAGTATCATCGGCTTGACATGTGAACCAGTAAAGAGACAGTTTGAGTTCCGCTGGGTCAGGATGATCGGTCGAGGAAATGAGGCCGAAACTGATTTGGTTAAATTCAGAAAGCAGTGAAGCTCAGCGAAAAGTGCAATCTTTCTACTGATTGAGTGAAAGTATAATGCTTATCAGTTCCTGTAAATCTCTACGAAAATTGGATTTCTTGCCACCGGTATTATAACGGTACTCAAACCAAACAACGAATTGGGAAAAGGCGAAACTGATGCTGCTTTAACCACTATCGTATTTTCGTCGCAAATTTCAGCGTAATATGAAATATGTAAGGGGTCTATTGGTAGCGAGTATCACGGGGTAGATAGGTCCAACTTGCCATGTCTTATCTTGGCCCATTGCCTAGGGATCGGGCCTGTGCGGAAGGATAAAATCTCATGTGTGATCAGCAAATATCTGCTACTTATGAAATATGTGAGTCACGCCCAATTAAGATGGCTGACGTATACATTAATCAGGTAACTAGAAATAACCTTAAATAATGAAAATTATGCAAATGTTTGTTGGGGTTTTTACTTTTGTGGAAGTGGAAGTCTTTTCAAGTGCCCAATTCACCTGGTTCAATACACCCTGCTAGGCCTGTCGAGTGTGACTATTTGTGTGGCTGCATGTGTATATATGTATGTCGATTGTCAACATGTTCAGATGTCAGTATTTTTAATTAGATACTGAGGTAATTTCACTAGTTGATATGGCAAATGTCTATACACACAGCATATGAATGCATGTACAGGCCACTTGGTTGCCTGGTTTTCAACAATTGGCAAGGGTTATTTAATGAAATCCTTAGCACCAATTCTGAGTATTAAGATAGTGACCAGATACCCAAACAGAATGACACAAGTATTCCATTAAGAAATTCCAAAGAGGACCTTATTTATATGAGCAGGTATGGAATGTCTTTTTAAAAAAAGAATTCATTCGAAATCTAGAATTTGCTTAATAGTCATAACCGGATCCTTTCTTTGACCCTATGACCCTAGTTAAATGATAAATAAAGCATATTTAAGTAGCATATCCACATTATCTATCCATAGTTACCTCTGTTATGTTACAGGATAAATATATTCAGAACTGAATCTTATTCTTAGAAAAACTTCAGAGGAATAATTATTTAATAGAATTAACCTATCCTTCTTCATATGCTATATATACGCACAGCGACAAGAACAACCACAAAAAACACACAAAAAACAATAAGATACAAAATAATTTTAAGCGATGGTGTGTGATAAAGAGAGTATGATAGTGTATTACTCTTGACCATATGTCGTTTGATTTTATTAGAATCCTCTGTCCGGTGAGATTGTGTTCAGGTTTTGTGTGACATTTCATGCGAATGAAATATTCAAAGTAAGTCAAGAATCACCCACCGGCTTATTACATGCAGAAAATATAGTCTAGAGAGAATGGGTTAGTTCAATCTCAAAGCATACACACTTATATGCGTTTGCATATTTGTATGGCGTGAAGCGAAGAATAATAGCTGCAACAGATTGGTAAAGAACCGATGGAAAATTCCAGTAAAGCAATACAGCCACGGATCATGAGGAATCTGTTCTCATCTAATGGTGCCATCAACCTACACAAATCTCTTAAATACTCAAAATCGATTGTATATAATTATTAATTAGTCCCGTTTTGTAGGTCGTTTAAACGTGTCATTCTTCTCAAGTCTATAAATCCAATATTACTTGTTTTATGTGCAAAGTCCTAGCCACAATTGTAATTTTTTGCATACTTTCTCATAAGTCGGTTTCGAGCAGCAGACCTAGCAAATTGAGCGTTTGTGGCAATTCTATTTAGTATCTGATTTATTCTGCTATAATACGAGCCTTTTATAAATTATCTGTAAATCTTAATTAAGAAGGTATTTACTCCAGACAGGTTAAGGGAGAATAGTTGGGCTTATTCCCAAAATCACATGAGCAGAATCTACACATCCCACCTGGACTGAAGTTGTGAACTCACACATGCTAATTCAAGTATTGCTGGCAGTTTCGAAACAAAATCAAATGGAATATAAATAGTATCGTCACACGTTCTGGCAACTACATGTTTGCCAAATCTTCAATTTCACTAAAGCTGAGGTTTTTGAAAGTCACAGCTTTCCTGTAACGGCGTTATAAACCGAGTCTGTGAAATGTCTTCATGACTCTCACGACCCGAGTTTGCATGCCATGGCAACTACTCCTCCGCCAGTCCTTACATCTCTTAAAGCGACCCAGGCTCGGCAATCTTTGTAGCAAGTTAGGTATTAATACATAACAGCCTTAGTCCATTCATCTGGTATCAAAAATAATTTTGCGAGGAGAGTAGTCCTTTGGAAGGTGAAATTATTTTTGTTAAGACAAAATTGGAACATTTTAGTTGATGCTGTTTCTAAGGTGGTTTTCTTCCATTCCAGCCAATATGCGATGGGCTTCCGCCCATCATATGATGGACTGAGTTAGTCGGTTCTTCGAAATGTAAACGAGAAACTGTTCGAAGGCATTCTCAGACAATTTATCAAAGCCCAGTTACATTTTGTCTATTTTCAGACTTGTGTACTTTCAGCTAAAAGGAATCTGAGAACTCAGCAAAATGATGTCTAGAAGGCGTGAAGCTACGCCTACCTGACGTTGATAGCCCAGTCTCGGTCCCTGCTTGCGTTCCGCCTCCTCCACCTCGACGAGGCTCTCCAGACCCGTGCTACTCAACTGGTGACCGGAGGCCAGAGCTCCGCCGACCACAGGCCAACCGGCCAGACTCCGACTTCTCTCCAACCAGCCGGGAGTAGTCTGCTTTGGCGACGGCATTTTCGAGGTCGAATTTCCGAGTTCCGGACGTCGGGATTTCAAGCTGTATTGGTTGTTGATGTCAGGCGGGCGTGATCAAGCCTCTGAAAGGCACTGGACAAACAAATTAAACAGAACTGGGCTGGAAAGGAATAGACGATTAACTGGCAGATGAGCAGTGAACTTTGTGTGGGTGACTTTTCTTATTATACAAGAAAATGCATTTTGGCGGAGAGCAACAAAGAGACACCGAGTGACTCCATTTTCGAGATACAACCGGTCTCACATTCGCCTTCATCTGCCTGATAATACTTGAGAAATATTAAAATAGGATATATTCGCATGAGGGACCCGGTAGCAAAGTAGTGAGTGGTCGGAAAGTCTAAGCTAAGCTGACCCACCCACACCAACCCACCCATACCGACATTCACCCCCACATCAACATCTATATCCACACCCCACCCATCCATGCACTCACACAAACACGCATATACACACATATACACACATACTAAATATTCTTCCTACCTCTGGCCGGTTCAAGGCAAGCGCGGGAGGCGAACAAAGGAGACTTGGACGAAAGATGTCCGAGACCTGTCTGAAGGGCAGAGAATCCGTGCACCTGCTTGTGATAAGCAATATGATTCTGTGTGTAAGTGTTTGTGCATAAATAAACATATTAATATATATATATATGTGTGTGTGTGTGTATGTGCGTGTGCATGTTATGGTATGTAGACTGGTGATGCGTCTCACCGGCCCAAACCTTAGCCTCGGATGCGATCAGGGGTCAAGGCTGTGGGTACTTGAGCCCGATCAGGTCAAAATCATGTAGACTTGACTCGATCGTTGTCTGCCGGAGGCAGAGACAACAACAAGGCGTCTGTGAGTCGCAGACTTGGTTTGTTTGTTTGAGCGAAAGTGTCCACTTAGTCTGCGGTGGGGCTCTGATGAAAGAGTTAATTAGTAGTTTTATAGCCTTTCCGGCCACCATCATGGCGAGAGACACGTGCAAAACTGGAAAGTACACCTTTTTCAGGCAAACGTCCTCATTCCGAATGGTACCAGCAGCATTATCTTACAATCGTGTGGCATGAGCACACTCCAAAATGGCACAATTACGAGAGTGAAGTTGTGTAGACCGGACGCACAAGATATGGATATAGTGAATTTTTCCTGTAAGATATCTTATCATAACCCTCGGTTAAGGCTTAGGAAAATACTCTGAGGGGAAGTTGATATATATATATATATATATATATATA